TCTAATTATAGTATTTAATGTATTGATTGACATATATTTGCTTTACAATATGTTTGTTTCATATGTATTCGGTTCACAATATAAATTTTTTGTCTGTTTATGAAACAAAAATTACACGTAAAAGAGTTTCACCTTCTGAACGAAATACTTTATGAGACAAAAACACATTGTAAAATAAACATATATTAATTAAATTACAAAAATTTGTTATGGATAATGACTTTTTTTAAAACCATGTGTAACTCAAACACTATACAAATTTGATAAATTAAAAGCATCCAAAGTGACAATTGGCAAGTTCTACTCTATCACTATTGCAGTGAAAGGTTCAGAACTCTCATTTCAAAAAAATTTGGTTGACTACAACATTGTTGATCTGTCCAGCAACATATTTGAAGGAGAGATTCCAAAAGTTATTGGTAGTCTTAACTATTTAATAGTGCTCAACTTATCCCACAACAACCTCAACGGTCAATCCCATATGCTCTAGGAAATCTCTTGAAGATCGAGTCGTTAGACCTATCATGTAACCAGCTAAAAGGAGAGATCCCTCAAAGTCTTACCCAAATCACAAGTCTTGAAGTCTTAAATGTAACAATTTGTCCCACATTGATAGAATGTGAGAATTGTTAATTCCTTATAAGTCTCAAGTAGTGGGCTACCAATACCTTCCACCATGGTTTTAAGTTGGATTCGAAGTTATTGGGCTAGTTCCTTACTTTGGGCTTTGGGGGTGTTACAAATGGTATCAGAGCTGATCCTTGTACCATCGGGATGGTGGGGCAAACCTCATCGGGTATGATGAGTCCTCAAGAGGGGGTGTTTGTAACATATTAGGCAAATCCCACATCGTTGATGACAAGGAGGAAGATTCTGGATAAGCCTGGCGTCAGCTTGACGAGGACGTCAGGAGTTTAAGTGGGGTAGTTTGTAACAACTTGTCCCATATTGATAGAATGTGAGAATTGTTAACTTCTTATAAATCTCAAGTAGTGAGCTACCAATAACTTCCACCATGGTTTTAAGTTGGATTCGAAGTTATTGGGCTAGTTCGTTGCTTTGGGCTTTGGGGGTGTTACATTAAATCTCTCGCAAAACCATCTTGTGGGTCCCATTCCTGACGGACCACAGTTCAAGACATTTAAAGCAACCTCATTCGAAGGGAATCCGGGACTATGTGGGTTTTCGTTGCCCAAGTGTGAACATCGGAGTGCCCCACAGCTTGAAGTCGATGGAGACGAGGAATGTGGATTTACATGGAAAGTGGTGATGTTGGGATATGGATGCGGAACCTTACCTGGATTCGGGATGGGATATATGATGTTGTCAACGGGAAGACCAAAGTGGTTCAATTTAATTGCTGATGAAATAGAGCATATGATCCTGCAAAGGCGAAAGAAGATAAGACATGTTTATATCGAAAAATGAAATCAATTCTTGAATTAACTGGTGGGTTATTTGCTATAATTTTTATATAATCAAATCATAGAAATCAATTGTTGTTTTGTTTGAAATTTTGTGATGCAGGTAGCTAGAGATGAAGTTGGGGATGCTTTGAATTATGCAGTTGCAGAGCTTGATTGTACATGGTCTTAAAGTCGTGCTATTTCCTTTGTTGCTTTCTATATCTTCACCTTTTTTCCGCTTCTGTTTGTATGCTTAATTTGTGTTTTAGTTCTTGATTGAAGTCTTCACGTAACATTGGATGGTACCATATATCTAATTCCTATTTTAAGTGACGTATTTTCAGAATCTTCAATTTGGTGTTTGAGATATAACATTTTAATCATTTAGGTACCTGGTTCTCCAAATCATTTGAAAACGATAACCACAATTAGCTTTGCTCATGTAACATTTATTTTCTAAATACCGAGTAAGCAATAAAAATCCACGTCACCGTTCTTAGAAATTGTAAATCATGTAGTATTTTTTTTTTAATTAAGCAAAAATTTCCATATAATTATTCTTTTTTATTGTAAAATTTGTAATAGCTTTTTTTGTAACCAAACGAATTATTTTCACGTAATTAACTTTTTTTTAATTGTAAAATCTGTAATATTTTTTTAGTGATAAATAGATATAAAAGATTTAATAAAAACTACAAGTTTTTTTAATAACTAGTTAGGTACTCGCGTAATGCAGCGAGATATATCTTGATTTCGGATTGTTTCAGTCGATTTTTGTTATAACACTTGTTAATTTATGTTCCAAGTACATCTATAATGGACATATACTGCAAACAATTGGAGTTAAGTTTATCAATTATTTTGCCAAACAACAAATATCTCAATTTTTATGCAAACAATTGGAGTTAAGTTTTTTATTCAAAAGGAAATTTGGAGCATAAACACATAAACGTTGAGTGTATATTGGGCGTGGAGTCTAACACTCAATTAATGCATATAATTAACAACATATGTTTGTTTAGTTTAATATTGTCTATTAAAGCCCAATACGATCTATTAAAGTCCAATACGATTCATTAAGGTCCAATCGATCTATCAAAACTCAATACGGTTCATTAAAGCCTAATACGGTCTATTAAAGCTCAATACGATCCATTAAAGCCTATTATGATTCATTAATGTCCAATCGATCTATCAAAACCCAATACGGTTCATTAAAGTCCAATACGTTTTATTAAATCCCAATATAGTCCATTAAAGCCCAATACAGTCCATTAAAGCCCGATCGGATCCATTAAAGCCCAATACGGTCCATTAAAGCCCAATACGGTCCATTAATGTCAAATCGGTCTATCAAAACCCAATACGATATATTAATGCCCAATCCGGTCTATTAAAGCACAATACGTTCCATCAAAGTCCAACCAATCTATCAAAACCGATTTTTAATTTCAAATAAGTTTCCGGCGGAAAATAATTTTAAAAGATTAATTAATTTTCCGCCGGAATATGTTAAAAATGATTTTTAATTTCAAATAAATTTCCGGCGGATAATAATTTTTAAAAGATTAATTAAATTTCCGTCGGTAAATGATTTTGACTAAATTAAAATACAAGTCTAATATAATTAATTAAGAAGTCCGCAGGAAATATAATCAGACTAATTTTTCTGGCGGATTGCTAGCGGAAGTCAATAGAAGTTGACATTTTTTAAGTCTCGCGGAAATCTGCCGGAATATTTCCGGCGAAATCCGTCCGCCAGAAATGACGTCGAAAATAGTSATTATTCTAGTAGTGTTTCCAACACACTTACAAGTACTTTTTTTAAAGAAGCTTCATTGATGGTGATGCTTTTAATTTTCACTACATTAATTTGTGGTTCCACAAAAGTTTGCACAAGAAAAATGGAACCCGGTGAATCGAAGGGTCTACCTATCAAATTCAAAACTTTTGACGACCTCTATTATTTTCGTACAAGCTACAATTACATGTAACCTTTGGAGATTGCTATATTTATGGAGTTTTAGTAACACCCGACCCTAACCTAGACTTTGTGTAAGTTCTAGGTTCTACTTTATTGACGTTAAACCTTAATTTGCTATTTGGGTAATCACGTGTTGACCGTTAGAAGGGAATTTAATCCTCAAATTTTTGCCAAACGTAATTAATTCATCAGCTAGTTTGCCAAAATAATCGAATGGCCATGTCTTTAATTGATAAGCATTAACCCGTTGGACTGGAAAGACCTCAATTCTAATGCAAATAATTGAAATGAGATTCTTCRATAAAATAGTGTCTTCTTACATCGATAAATCTGAAGYTGRAAAACTTGCACCAAAGAAAATTGAGGCCATATCCCCACCCTCCAAGTGCAAGACTTCAAAGTCAAGCTTTTCATTCGAAAGGAAATTTGGACCACAAATTCATTGGATCATAAACTTATAGACGTTGAGTGTATATATTGGGCATGGAGTAATCATTGTTATTAGTCAAAAGTCATTCCAAAAGCAAACATGCTTTCAGTACATTCACATCTACATGCTCTGTTTTCCATAAAACTACCCACAAAAAGCTGTTTTGCTTTACATACGCAAAATACTTTGAAGTATTAAGGTAATAACTTTTCTACTTTAGATTAATGATCTAGTCGTTACTTGAAAATTCTACACAAATAGCCAACAACAGTTATACTCGATACCCTATATCCAAATTCCATCTCAAAGACTTATAACAACCACATACCGCTCGTATATTAGAAAAACCAAACTTCTCCAACACGCATACAAGTATCATTCTAGACGTTTGTAACTCCAAGTTATGAATTGTATCATCATGCAAAATTAGTAACGTAATAAAATCTAAATGATTGAATTAAATTAGTCACAATTTTAAGTATTGTTTGAAAAATAATAACATCTTAAGATGTATCAGATTTATAAAAGAAATTAAAAAAATGGAATAGTTATGTTATGTTGTGTTTTGTTTATAGTCTCGTTTGTTTATAAGCTAGTTTATTGAAACACTATTTAGAGTAACGTTTCAATAAGCTTCATTGGGGCAAGTTTCTGAAATATAAATTGAAATGTAAAAAAATTGACTAATGTTTTAACATGTATTTTTTGGTCATTTTACATTTTCAACTAATTTATTAACTACTTTTTTTTTTTCCTATTATTGTATCAAGTAACATCTTAAGATGTATCTGATTTTTAAAAGAAATTAAAAAAAATGGAATTGTTTCTTAACTTAACGTTTTGTTGGAACTTGAGAAAATAAAATACGATTCAGTTGACAAAAATCTAACAAATATTGAAAATACACAAACCTTGTATGCTTATTTATAGCCATCAACAACTTAACAACTTGACACTTGCAATTAAAATCAACATGAATCATTCAAACTTGCTTCTTCTCTCCTTTTTYCTTTTCTCTTTCTTCATTTCCTCCTCTTATTCTTCCAATAAAACATGCTCTCTTACACAGACTCATGCTTTGCTTCTCTTCAAACAAAATCTTCTCTCTTATAATCACTCGGATGATGAATATGATGATTTATGTGTGCAATGGCGTGGTTCCGACTATTATCCAATTATGATGAATTGGAACACGAGTACTGACTGTTGTAGTTGGGATGGTGTCACTTGTGACCACTTCACCAATGACGTCATCGCTCTCGACCTCAGTTGCGGCATGCTACGAGGTACCATCCACCCTAACTCCTCCCTCTTCAACCTTCCTCACCTCCAAACGATCAACCTTGCTTTCAATGATCTTACCAATTCTCGACTTCCATGTGAGATTGGAAGGTTTTCTAATAGTCTCACACATCTCAACCTCTCTGATAGTGGGTTCATAGGCCAAGTTCCTACGGATATCACAATTCTTCGTAAATTGGTGTCTCTTGATCTCTCTAGGAATGATTTGATGCTTGAACCTCATGTCTTCTACAATCTCCTACGTAATTCTACTAGTTTGGAAGAGCTTTCGCTAGATGGTGTTAATATCTCGTCAATTTTACCCACCTATGTTAATCTCCCTTCTATGAAATTGCTCCATCTTCGTAGCACCGGTTTGCTAGGGAAATTACCTGATAACATCTTCAATCTCATGTACTTGGAAGAACTTGACTTATCATTTAACGATGTCCTTATTGGTCGGTTTCCAAAAGTTTACACAAACACTAGCATCCCTCTCAAATTGTTAGATCTTTCAAGCACCAACTTATCAGG